CCTAATCTGTGAGGTGTCTGCTGTGTTGTTTTGTCTTTTTGATACTTATTTGTCTCTAATATTTTCAAGCAAACCTCTGAATCCTTCACTGAAACTCAACTCTGACATTCTGACACTCAGGTGGATATATTTATTAATTTAATGACTTTTGAATGCAGGTAGTTTGCAATGCATGTATCAACATTAATCTACATTTTTAGAAAACCTTCTTTTAATCTGTTTTATAATATAATTGAGTGTGTAGCTGAAATCTAACAAAATACCCCCCAAAAAGGAAAAATTTAACATCTTATCAAGTGGTACTTACTAAGAAAAAAACATTTGTGACGTAAAATAAAACACTACTAAACTGCAGTAATGAAATACAACAAAGGGGAGTTTAGAGACTGATTGCAACAGATGAGGCTAATGAATAAGTATCCTTTGAGCTCTTAGAGACTCCATGAAAAGCAACTTCCTCTAATGGCTCAAATTGGAGCGCTCTGAGGGTTTTTCTATCTTTATCTCCCTTCTGGCTGAGGTTACATTCTAATGTGTACAAACGTGCATCACTAGGTTACCCTTTACATCCCTGAAATCATCTAACTCAAACCTACAAGAAAAATACCAACAGCACACAAAACAAATTAAAATGCATATAAGTAGCAGGTGGTCTCTGTCTGAGGGAGACTGGGTATGTTGAGTGTTGGTAACCTGCCTTACGCTATTACTAACCAGATAAAAGGTGCTGGAAGGAAACATGCTTGTAATTGATTGCTAATTAGTACTTTATTTGTCCTCCATTGTGTCCTGACAGGTCTTTGCCTCAGGGTTTTCTATTCACAAACAGGCTATCTGTCCTCACAGCAGGGGAAATATTAGGCTGGTGTGAGTGCATCAGTCTATAATGAGACTCAGGCAGTTGTTGTGCTTAGCTTTCTAACTTCACAGCAAAGTGTATCATACTTAAAACTATCAATACAAAGTAATCAAGCCTCATCCAAATGATAGTCCCCTGCAATATATTACAATATAATGGAAAAGTGTAGCAACTAAGTTTAACACATTATATGGGCTGATTCCACAAAAACTTGTTTTCAGTCTTTTATTTTTGTTAATTATAATGACTTTCTGCTTACACTGAATGAAAAAAAATTACATTTAGGATTAGGATATTACATCAGACCAATTAAAAAAAATATTAATAATGCATAAATAATGGGTGAAAGAAAAATTATTTTTAATACCTTGTTATAGGTGATTTTCAAAAAGTATTTTAAACTTTTAATTAGCCTTATTAGAATTAATAATTTTGTGCATTGATTATGCACAAAATGTGTTACATTGCAAGAGTATTTATACTCTATCAACATTTTCTGTGTTTTGTTGTGTTAAAACAACAAATTGCAATGCTTACACATTGATATGTATGTAATGAAACAACAAACACTGCAAATCGGGACATTTTTTTTATATTGCTTGATCCATCTTCTCATAACTGACTGACTTCTCTTTCTCAACAAAAATGTTTACATTTCATTCTCTGGTTTCTCCATCATTTTAGCAAGACAGACACATTTGTTTTTGTTTTGTTTTTTACTCTTCCAATCTCTTTCTATCCTCTACAACGGATTAAAGGTGTAGTATCATTTTAAAATGTTTTATGATAATCTTAAATTGGGAATATTGTCTTATTGTCACCATAGGCCACTTAAATATGTGGCCTATGGTGTTTCCCTTGGTCTTCAAATTGTATCTTCAATGATGATTTCCAACAGACCTAGAAGAGTACACCAAATAACGAATAGATTATCACAGTTTGGCTGTTTGGATTTCATTCCACCAAAGCAGAGAGAGTTGAATAAAGCCATTGAGTTTTGTCTTAAAATAACAAATATGGTTCAATATCATGTGGAATTTCTCCTTCTGTTATGTCAAATGAAATCAGTGTAAAATACTACTTTGAAATTTAACGTGACAATCCGTGGAAAGGTTCGGGGGTTTGAAAACTTCAGCAAGATACAGTATAAACCATTTCCGCTGAGCTGCTACAACCACAACTCTCTCCCTCTCTCATCAGTGCATGAGAAATTACCTAATGAGCAATGGGTCGCACATTTCCACAAACTCATTAACCCACGAGCGAGTGAGACTAATTGCAGCGTTTGGGTAATGTGATTTCACATCTGTTACTGCAGCCCAGGACACAGCAATCGGCATGGGGCTGGATCTGGTGGGCTGAACCGGAACCTAGAACTAGATTCCCTAGATATTAAAAGACAACCAAACACAAAAAGTCGGGCTTATACCCGCAGTAGACAGGCAGAGCAGCAGTCAGAGCAGGGCTGGCGATGGTCGGTCAGCTGTCGTGTTGGGAATTCGTAATTGCATGCTGGTGGAGGGTGCGTGACCTGTAGAAATAAGAGAACCTCAGCTAAAAATATAATATCAGTAAAGAGAACGTAGTTTTCCTTTACCAACGTTTTAGACGATTGAGAATCGCTTGAAACAGAGGGTCAAATAACACAAAAAATATTAATTGATGAATATAAAAACTAGATTTTTCCCCCCGAGATTCCAGGTGACCTAAAACAAGTAAGCTTATGTATTTTTGTGCTTTTTTTTTTTTTTTTAATTACTGGCTGAGATTTATCATTCTCTGTAAAGATGTGGGCTGTTAGTTCTCCTATTTTTAAATGATACAGAAAAAGAAACTAAAATCAGAAACAAAAGTGTATCATTCTTATAGATAAACGTCCTTAAATTCACATGCACAATGCAGACTTTCTCCCCTCTGCCGTATAACACGTAAAAACATCTTAAGGGTTAATAGTTGGTTTGGTATTTCTCAATATTGTAGCAAATTACTGCAAAAAAATATGTATTTTAATCGAAAAGGTGGAAACCAACTCTTTAGTTAGAAAAAAGGTAATATTACTTTAGTTAATTATGATTAATCCTTTGTTTAACCTCCCTGCATTGTTACAGAAACTCCAATTATAAG